ATATAATATAGTACTTGTGTAATTAGTACACGCAATTGCTAAGAAAAATTGAAGATTTATTCTAAATAAATATACTGGTAGAAGTATGTTGTATGTGACATTGTTAGATAACCTGTACCTATAGTCAGTAGGAATACCTCAAATTCATATTTACTACTCTCTAAGAGCTGTAAAATGTAAATTATTACACAGTATAAATTCAATTTTATTTTTTATTTTTTTGTAAAGTATCAAAAACAAATTAAATCATCGTATACAATAATTACAAATAATAAAACAAATATTACAATCAACATGCATAACAAGTTAACATTATAATTTATTTAATAGGAAAATTCAGACCTTGGTAGTGAACGAGGAATATTAAGAGGATGCTATACATGCATGTGTTGTCTCCGTCTTACAAATGTAAAACATTGCAATAACTGTTTTACACGGGAAAGAACCTCTCTAGCTGTAATTCAAACTAAGCAACCAAATTTTCACACTATAAAGAGGAGAATATTTTACTGTGCAACATTGTTTTTATTTTTTCGATATCAGAACTAGAAAAAAAGTTATTCAAGTTTGTAAAACTAAAAACATTGTTGCACGGTAAATATTCTCCTCTTTATAGTGTGAAAATTTGGTTGATTAGTTTAGATTACATTTAGAGTGGTCCTTTCCCGCGCAAAACAGTTTTTGCAATGTTTTACATTTGTAAGACGGAGACAACTCATGCGTGTATAGCGTCCTCATAATTATGATTTATGAAAGCACATTAGTACTTTACTAAAAAATTACAAAATAATAAAGTTAAAATAACAATAATAGTAATAATAATAATAATAATAATAATAATAATAAAATTAATACAAACAAAAATACATATTTTACAAATGTTTTAAAATCATCAATTTTCTATTTTTCCTAACTCTTTCTGATACTAAAGATTTATTTAAAAATTTAATGGATGAAAAAATTCTAAACCTTATAAATAAATTTAATAAAAATGTTTTGTTAAAATATTCACAAGGGTGTTTTAAACGTGTGTTTACTAATAAATCTTTTAACTTAGCCCCTACATTGTCTTCAGTAGCTAAGAAAGGAAAATGTTCAATAAAAATACTTTCTAATTTAAAGATATAATTGTAAAAGTTATTGTGTGGCATTAATAATTTTCCATAAAGAGAATTGTCATTAGAAGTAGATTTGAAAAAACATAAAAGAAAAGATTGTTCAAGGTTTTGTTGATATTTAGCATAATTAATACAATCCTGACAAACATGTTTTTCTAAACATTTTCTTATTAGATATCTGCATATATATGTTAAAGCATTAGTTTCAGGAATATTTAATTTTCTGTAGTCTACAGTACCGATAGAGATAGAATTGAATTTAAAAAGATTATCTTTTGATTGTTTGGCATTAACAATTTTTTGAAATGATGGTGAAACATTATTTAATTCATTTACTTTACAAAGAACACTATCAAGATCTTCAATACAATTTGCATTTGGAGAATGCTTGAAATATTCAAGGCAAAATATTTTTTTAAAGGCCCAAATAAACTGAATGGGTGTAGGATTATAACTATTACCATGTTGTTGACGAAATATTCCGAACAAATTTTCTAAACAGTCTTGATTGATTTGGCCTGTCTGAAGGGCAAATCCTTTATTTTGTTCAAGGTTTAAGGTATCCCACAACATTCTTAAACCCGATATGCTAATCAACCAACCATTAATAAAATTTACTCTTTTAGTCACATCAGATCCATCATACTTATTAATTACTTTCATGTTTTAAACATTTCAACCATTTTATTTAAATGATCTAACTGATGTCTATCATTTGTGAAAGGAGTATTATATATTTTGCTATTTGGTGTATCAGATGAATTAAAAATATCAAATAATCTATCCATAAAATTAATAAAATTGATTGTATATTTAGAGGTTTTTGGTAGAATACCCTGATTCAATGCTGCAGACATTCCTGYGGMTACACTATGACTAAATACATRAGCCGCTAATCTAACCTTCATTCTTTCAAAAGGACTTGGATGAATATGTGAATAAGTTAATTTAGGAGCCATTCGCACATTATTATAAAAAGTATCAACATGTTTTTTTTCTATTACATCATTATTAACAATCAAATTGTGTTTGAAAAACATATTTCGAGTCGATTTCAACAAATGAGGTGGGTCAAAGATATATATGATTTTGTCATTGTCAATTTCAAAATATGGCTCTTCAGGAGTAACACCATTGATTTTGGAAAAATTTACGAAGTTAGAACCTTGGTCGGTAACAAAAGCTTTAACATTAATATTAATATTCTTAAGTTTTCGAATAGTAGAAACAATTATATTATTTAAATCACTACCTGTACAACTATTAGAAATTAAATAATATGCAAGTGGCTGTTTCCAATTATGATTAATACCTCTAATCATAAGAACAAGGACATGTTTGGCAGGATCATATGTTTTACTTGACTTTGAATGATTAAAACCAATTATTTGATCTTTAGATAAGTTATAAAATAAGTTTGTTTTAAGTGACATTTCGTCYGCGCAGAGAATGCAGTTTAACGCATCAGAAGAAAAAGTTTTAGTTTTGAAAGATAGAAAATTAAACATAAAATCATTAAGGCCAGATTGAAATTCATATTTAGAAGTAATTTTTCTGAGAGTTCTAATAGTAGGAAGACAAAAATTTCTTTGAAGCAAATGAAAGACACTAGGACCCAGAAAATAGATTATAAGTGCAAATTGTTTAATTTCATTTGAAAAACACCTCCCCTTTGGGTTTTTGTCTTTATTAAGGACATTATTTTTTACCACAATAAATAATGAAGGTGAAATATACTTTTCAACTAATTGGAGTACATTTTCAATGGTGTCTGACTGCTCCAAACATACTGAAAGACAAATAACATCATATTCCAATTTCTTGATATTGGTATGAGCTTTGGCAAGTTTTTTTCTTAGAGCCTCTTTTCTTGGGGTTTTCAATGACAAGTGTTTGGGAGTTTGCAAACCTGTTGTTGCTTCACATATCTCTGTAGAAGTGGACACAGATACACCTCCACCAATAATAGACCGTGAAGAAGACGAGACTAAACCAAGAATAACACAAATTGTATTAAAATAATATTGGATAAGTAATCAACAAGTACACTGTACATTTTAGGTAATACACCTAATATGTAAATTACCTAATATGTAAAAAAACAAAGGCAATAAAATTATATAAATGTTTTATAAAACAATAAGTCACATACCAAGTGTTGAACATGATGGGTGGTCATCAACTGAGAAAATGTTATCAGCCATTAAACTACCCTCGCTCGACAGATTTGAAATTTCAAAATTTTTGCAGCCGACAAAAGAATTATCTTGATATTCTGCTGGTTTTTTGGCAAATAATGTCGGGATATCAGTCTTAGTGAGTCTATTTTTTAAAGTATTTTGAAACATGTTTGTTTCAAAATGCAAGGAGCACCACTTGTACGTTTTGTTAAGAACATCAAGATCTGCAGTCGGTAAGTATTGAGCTTCGCATTTTTCAACCCAAGAAGCACACCTAAAGTAATAATAATCATATTTAACATCTAGTATCTTGGTTCAAAAATAAAATAAAAATTATTTAGATGTCCAATCTGTTACATTATTTTAAGAAATACTTAATACACATTAATTTACATGTGCTTATTATRTCAYATTTGTAAATACTTATGTTGAATTTTATGGGTAAGTAAATAACATATTTAAAATTAAATTGAACATAATATTAGTAAATACCGTAAAATATAATTTGTTCTTACCTTGAATGGTCTTTTGGAAATTTAAAAAATGATATTTTTATTTCATCATTGTTGTTTGACCAAAGGCTGGTACAATACGCCAACGAGCATCTACTACCAGCGGCATTTTTAACAAGTAAAGACATTATTGGTAAATAATGTATACAATACCAAAACAAATAACAGCAGATAACAAAAAAATACAAAAAACGTTTGGACTTGTGTTTTGACACAATCAGAACATATYGTCTGGATTAAAGTGAGTAGCACATATGCTTGAATTGTGGTTTAAATTCATATTTAAAGTTATTTTCTATTTATTTTTTAAATTTTTAGGTACGCTAAATAAGGATACATTGCGATATCCACAATTTTTGACACAACACTTTGGCACTATAACAGTTGGAGATTATAATAATTAAAAAGTATTAAATACTCTTAAGATAAGTCAAGCCCACATTTACAAATTAAAATTATTTAATAACAATAAAATTATAAAATTAAAGTAATTGTAATTTTTTTTTTTTTGCGGCGTTTTCTCAAATAGACAGTCAAATCTTTATTCTTTAATCTTTAATCTTTTATATTTACCGCCACCGGTGTCTGATAGTAATATCACAAATCACAATAACATAGTATATTGATAGGATAGTTTTCGGTTTGCCGCTAGGGTTCACTACAATCTAAGTCTACACGAGTCTTATCGCAAAACATATAGAACGGTCATAGACATATTATTAATATGACGTCTATCCGTCTATGAGAACGGTCCATGTATCATAATTCATAAGCAATTTAATATAGGAGTTGTGCAACCAGTATATCATATTATTATCATAAACCGTGGGCTCAAGACAAGTCTCAACAACACTACAAACAGTACAAACGGTCAGTGGCCACGTGCAGTAACCTAATCCAGTGAACRCACAAGACACATAGACATATTAATAATGTCAATGACAAGACAATAAAATAATATTATTATTTCAATTTACTACTAATATTGTAAATTTGTAAAGATAACGTACAATTGAGACATGATTCTTGATAAAAGTTATTAAACGTGCAACGGCGAACGCAGCATTGCTTGTAGCCTGCAGCAGCTGCTGTACAGTATAATAATATTACAATAGTGATTACTGGATACTGATTGGTAAACAAAAGTTGGTGTAGTTGCGGTACTGCGCTTGAATGCACTTTCAAAACATCAAAACTATTATAACTACATTAATGTTCTGATTTGACATTAATTGTTATTTAACGTCTTTACGAATTACGAAATCCAAATATTTACTGGACGTTAATCGATGTTTAATCATCATCGCTATTCCTCCACGGAGCTAATATATAACACTCAATATTTATTGTGATTTTTGTCCGTGTTTGAACTGGACTACAAGAGTGGTTTTACATTTTTGAATTTTTTTGATATAAATGATTAACTGATTTGATCTGTAGAAGCATCTCAATTGATTCCACGTTACTCACGTTTTGCGCAAAAATGGATGTGGTCAATGAGAGTGAGTAAAACATGTTTTGCTGTTTGTTTACAGACACTATTAAATCGTGTTGGTTATTATTTGTTTAGATTTCTATCAGTTGTTGCCGGAAATCCAACAGGCCATTGCTGAGTGTGATTTCATTGCGGTTGATGGAGAATTCACTGGTCTTCATAATGGTACTATGGTCAGCATATTTGATACTGCTGCTCAATACTATCAGAAACTCAGAAGTAATTGCATGGACTTCTTGATGGTTCAATTTGGTTTGTGTGCTGTCAAATATAATACTGAAAAGAAAAAGTACAATATCATCTGAAAGTTATGAATAGTTGATCGTGTTTTTACATAATTTTTTTCTGTTTCATTAGGTTTACATACAGGGCGTATAATTTTTATACATTTCCTAAGCCCATGAGTCGATATGCTCCAGATTGCCGATTCTTATGCCAGTCTTCCAGCATGGAATTTCTTAGCAATCACAATTTSGACTTTAACAAACTGTTTAAGCATGGTAATCTACAATACCTTAATTTTATTTTCTATGTTAAAATAACAATTTTTATTTTAATAGGTATTCCTTTCCTTACTGTACCCGATGAACAAGTATTGCAAAATGAACTGTTAAATCGATATAAGCAAAATTGTTTACAGKCTCAGACACCATCAAAAGTCTCTGAATGTATACCTATACCAGACAATCATAAAGCAGAAATAGAAACTGCTTGGTAAATATTGTTTTTTGCTTTTTAAAGTTATTTACCTAGTAAGTAGAATATAGATTACTATGTGTATTTTAATATTTGTATTGAATATAAAACTATTACATCATGGTCTACTATTAATTTAACCATAACAGTTAAATTGCTATTAGTTTTCCATTATATTTAAAATGTTATAAATTTGTTTTTTCATATTTTACATTTCATTTAGTCCAAATTAATAACGAACATAACATTTTGTATTTGGAATTTAGATTTTTTTTTTTGATTATTTATAAAATGTTTTGCTTATTCACATTTTTCATGCATGACTTAAAATTATTTTGTTCATATATTTATATAATTTTTTAGCTCCTTCAACTTCTGAGCCTTTAGATTACTATAATTCCATTTACTATGTATACTCATTATTTACAAATAATAAATACATTTTAATAATCAATAATCGCAAATACTTTATACTGGGTAGCTTAATAAAAACAGCAAAGATATAGGATATTTTAAACATTAAAACTTTAATTATTAGTCATTAATAAAGATTATGGTTATAATTAGTGTATATTAGACTACTTATATCAATTTAATAATTTGTTGACAGTGAAAAGGTAAAAGAACTTTTAGAAAGTGAAACGATTTCTGAAGTCATCATAGCAGAGAAAACCAATTCTTTTATCCGTAAACTTCTCTATCAGGTCAGTTAATAGGTTATTTATATTAATATAATAATACCTATATAAGATTATAACTTATGTATACTAAATAATTATATTCAKATACATACTTAAAAGTTAATTTGAGACAAAAAATATTCAATAATCCATACTTAAGTGACAATAAACAGCACAAAAAGATTAAATTACTTGACTGACAACATTTTCTAGAATTCAGTCATCTTCACCCATAAACGACAAAATTATTAGTAGGCCAATATGACACAACAGCTGTGTAAGTTTATCCTCATCAGTCATCAAAGATTATGACCTATGATAGAACGCTTAAGAGAACATGATACACACAAAAACAATAGTAAATAATAGTTGCACAAATGTTGCATATTCTACATTTATAATAATTATAATTATAATTCTATCTTTGTCATATCTATGCTTGTACAAACTCCTGTTGATCCTTAATAACCCATGATAATATACATCAATAAGTTATCGACGAATSACGAAAAATATTGGTTTTTCTTGTGTAAATTTATAACTATGCAATTACCTTAKATTAGATTGCAGTATATTATGTACACATGCTGAACATTTCATTAAAAAATTTTATTTTACATTTGTTTTTTAAAAAACATATATGTATATTGTATATATATTAAGATTGTATAATATTTTTACTCAAAACCGTATAATTCATTGATTTGTAAAAAAAAATATTTTACACATTTAAAATATGAATCTGTATATTTTATTTWTATTTATTATATATAAATCCAGCCCTATTAATAATTAGATAAGAATAATAATTAATCAACCAACAAATTTTTAAATATTAAAAATATTTTTAGAAGCTCTTTAAAAAAAAATTCTGTTATGAGTACATTAAATCATATTTTTCAAGACTTTTTTCTTGTTTTTAGAKTATTTCTCTTGTTATAAATTATTAGCAAAATAAAAGTTTTAGAAAATCATGTGATTTATACCTAAATTTGTTCTTAAAACTATGAATGAAATAAATGTACCTACTTGTATTAAGCTAATAAAATTATTTATGATCAGTGAAAGAAACTAAAATAACTTAGAAAATATAAGTATRTATACAATAAGTAATAGCTCATTGTTACTTTACYACTTATAGGATGTATTATTTTTAACCTCATTAATTTTATATATTATTTATTATTCAGTGTACAATGTGTGTTTTTACTTACTTTGGTATTAGACCAGTTATTATTTTATATCAATACATTTTTAATGTTAGTAATATTTTTTTCAGGAAGTTTATAATAGGTATTCAGATACCAAAGTAAGTTTACAGTCAAGAATAGTAGAAGATATTGGTAATGTAATGGTAGCTTTCAAGGGAAGAACAAAATTGTTAATGGCACAGGAAAGAATGGAACGGGAACAGATAGAGTTAGAAAAAGCTGTCGGTTTTTCAGCAGTCTTAAAGAAAATCATAGCTTCTGTATATTCTATATAATTTTAATGGTAGTTATTTTTATTTATTAACTAGATTAATTTTTATTTCTAGAATAAACCGATTGTTGGCCACAACATGACATTAGATGTTTGCCATATGATTCATCAGTTTTGTTTACCATTGCCATCAAGCTATAGTGAATTTCAAGCTATGGTTAAAACAATATCATATAGGTATGTCATATTTTTTTCAATAATTTAATATTGTAAAATTTAAAACATTGTGTAAGAACAGTTATGTTAAGGTTTTTGGATACAAAATACATAAGTGGTACAGAACCACTCAAAGGATTCTTCAGTTCAACAGTACTAAATGATTTAAAAAAGTCACTAGCTGAACAGTGTCAAWATTATACAGACTTAGGTAACTAATTTATACTTTATTTTATTTGTGTTGTTTTTTAATAAAATATTTATTTGTGTTATAGAACCAGAGGTTCCTGAAGTTGGTTACTCTGAGGACATATCTAAGTTGCATGATGCTGGTTATGATGCATATTTGACCAGTACTGTTTTTGTCAATCTTTGCAATTTATATGGTCAGTTTTCACAAAAATTTATAACAGTAGTGTATTATGTACAACAAAAAGTAGTAAAAAATATATCTTTAGCTTTAATATTAGAATGAATTTATTTCAAGATTTATAAATAAGAACATTATCTCTGTTTTGTATGTTGGTTTTAATAAAAAAATTTAAGCAAGTTTCAAGCATTAAAATTTAAAAAATTTCTTAATTTGCTTAGTAATTTAAAAAATCATAAAATTTCAATATTCACACATGGTTAATTTTCTTACCTTTCGGTATGTATGATAAATTCCTTCCAATAAGCTTAGAATAAAACATTAAACTGGTTTGTTGACTGAATGAATTTACACATTTGTACAATACATGAATAGGGTATATTTTCGTCTTAAAAATCTTAAATATAATATTATATATTGATAAATGATAATACARTWAATTAATTTTTGCTTACATATCTTTTCAACTAAATTATACTTTTAGAATATTTTTTTTCAATATATCAATTTATATTTTATTGTGTTATAACTTATTAATATTCTTGATATGCGTAAGCAATATCAATGGATTCAAATAAAATAAAATATTGTCCTAAATAAACTTCAACATGGATATTGACAAATGAAAATGTATATAATTTTATTTATAATGATATAATCAAAATAAAKATAGCCATATTTTACTACAGTAACTGTTGAGCATATTATTTTTTGATTCATCTGTGTTAAGTAG